TCGGGCTGTGGGGTTGCAAGCAACTGCTGTGTGCTTTGTTGCTTGCTTTGGCTGTGTTTCTGTTGCGGCCGTTGCTGAGCAATTTCGGACTATTGCTTTGTTTTGAGCACGGCCGTTCAAGGACCACATGGCTGCAGCTTCATGAGGAGAAGGATCCGTCTGACTCTCGGCTGTGCTGCTACGTAACACCGTGCTTCTTAGGCACCATTGTTGAAGCTACCAATCTGTTGTTTCTAGCCGACGACTTGTTGTGCTTCTGTTTCTGATTTGGAACGGATAGTGTAGTTATTGCAGTTGTTGGGGGTACCGTAGGGTTTGTTGTGAGGAACGGTGACTTGTTGCAGCATATGGAAGCTGCGTATCCCGTTGTTGTGCGGGTGGTTATGCGCCTCATAAAGGAGGGTGGTGTTGTAGTGCGAGAGAGTTGTTCAATTCCACGGGGAAAGGTTGCTACTGCAGCGCGGTGGAGTGGTGGCGAAGGGGGTGGTTGCTGCAACTCGGTGGGGGTCGTTAGAGAAGCCAACCAAGCTATTACACTTGGCCACTATCGCGGGACCCTCAGGCGCTGAAAGCTCGAAGACCCTCTCGCGCGAGTCTGAGTGTATCCCTCCTGAGTCTGAGAGTCTTACTCCGTCTCTTCCTGTCCTTCTTACTCCAAGTCTGGTCCTTTAGCTCTGAGAGAAAGGCGGCAGGCGGGCGTGTGGCCCGTAATCCGCGCAAAGGCCTCTGTGGGAGGTCGCCCCATCGATTGCGGGAGCTCTGCCGGGACTCAGGTGGAGTCCTGGAGGCAGGGAACTGAGTGGTGATCCCTTGACTCCCTTTATAAACCCAACTATAACCCCTACCTGTACACCTCTCTACGTTTGRCTGGAAGTATTGTGTGGCTCCTGTACCTSGATTTTGAGTTTGACTTCCRSAACATAAGTCRGACTGAGGTAAAGGAATRTATGAACAAATCTCAGTTTCAGTTTATTGATGGCYTGAAAGCAGATTGTGAATGAAATGGGTTGCATCTGGGGGGGGGAGGTTTGGAGGAAGGCAGTATTGTGTGCAGATTGACTGGATCACTAAGGCTGGGAGGTCCCCTTAAGTTTGGGGAAGCCCAACGCTTTGTTTATTCTTGGATTGCCTGGAGCCTTAGGCCGCTCTATAAGTTTAGGTAGCCTGAAGCTCTGGGGGCTGGGATGTCCCCATAAGTTTGGGGAGACGTGGTGCTGTGAATTGCATGGAGGGTCAGGACGCTCTATAAGTTTAGGTGTCCTTGCTGCTCTGACTTCAGGGGGTTTGACTGTGAGTGACTTTCAGGAACCCAAGGCGCTCTATAAGTTTAGGTACCTTGGGTTGCCTCGTTTTGTTTGGGGTTCTCATAGTTTCTTTGGTTCTGAACGAGAAGGTCTGAACCACTCTATAGGTTTAGGTGGTTCAGCCCTTCTCCTGTTTTGTTTTGAGGGGGTAATCCTGGCAGGGGACAGGCCGCTCTATAAGTTTAGGTAGCCCGACCTACTGCTTTACATAGACTGGATCAGAGAGAAACGAACCTGGCAGAGGATCAAACCGCTCTATAAGCTTAGGTAGTCTGACCCAATGCCTCGTACATGCTGGAACCGAAATGGATATAACTCTGGCTATATTGTACTACTATGCTATTAAGAACAGGCCAGTCAGGCCGCTGTATAAGTGTAGGTAGCCTGACTAGAGCTTATCACAACTGAAGAGAGTATAAACTAAGAGATATAGTTGAAGGTAAGCTTGGGCAGGCTGAGCAATGTTTTAAGTTGAGCGGCTCAACCTTATGCCCCCTTTGAAGACTAAGTTCCGCAAGGTATATATAACTTGGCTATTTAAACAACTTCAGGGCGACTAGAGTGGTCTAGTCATACGCCCAAAGAAGAGAGAAGTAGTTGTGCCCTCTGTTTGTGTATACCTGGTCAAGTCAGAACGCTCTATAAGTTTAGGTATTCTGACTTTAGGTCTGGCTAAGTTGGGCGCGCTCTGTAAGTTCAGGTGCCCTGACCTATGCCTTATGTAAGTTGGGTATGAGAGGATAACTCACTGAAAGATCATGAACTATTGTTTGCTCAGATTGGCTTAGGGATGGTGATAGTACTTACCTTTGTGGTTTGGCCTGCATGTGGCTGAGTGAGATTACTACTTGGTCTGGGTTTCAGATTGACAGGTAGTTGCTTTAGAGACTCGCCACGTGCCAGAGCGATAGGAGTTAGGTCAATTCTTGCATTTTCTGAGCGGACCTTATTTTACTTAGATCGATTCTTGCATTTTCTGAGGCTCGCTATTATACTTGCACCTGTATAAATTCTGGTAAGCTACTCTCTCTACGGGAAGCGCTGCCGAAATTTCTACAGATTCAAGGAGTTAGATAAATTTTGACTTTTCAAAGTTCAGCTTGTCTTTTCGTCAGATCTTACTTAGTAAATATTTGGAAAGTCTCATTTTCTATAGGGAGTGCTGCCCAAATTTTTGCTAAATCAGGGAGTTTGACAGAATTGGACTTTGGGAAGTCGAGGTTAGTTCCAAAGTTCTAAATTTAGCTCGTATAAATTTTGGAATAACACTTTTCTAGAGGGAGTGCTGCCGAAATTTCTGCAAAACTGAGGAGTTAGTTAAAATCTTGTCTAAGTTGGACTCAAGTTGTCCTTTGAGTTCATATCCGACTTAGTGTCAATCTGAGAAGTCTCCCTTTCTAAAGGGAGTGCTGCGCAAATTTTTACTAATTCAGGGAATTAGACAAAATTTGACTTTCAGAGTTAAATATTATTTCTGCTTTCATATTTGGAGTTATATAAATTCTGAAAAGACACTTTTCCTACGGGAGGCGCTGCCGAAAATTTTTTAATTTAGAAGAGAGATTATATTTTGACAGGTGGCGACTCTGGCGATCCACCCTAGATAGGGGAGATTCTGTCAGGGCCTACCTTTGCTTTGGGCACTGTTTAGGGGTAGGCTTGGGGTCAGTCAATAAGGTAGGCCTTGGAGCGAGATTGTGATTACCCTCCAAGGACTTATAGATCTAGCTTGAGGATTGACCTGTCTTGTGTTACAGGTCTTCTTGGTCATTCGATTAAGGATCTGGATTAGAGTCAGTTTGATCCTACAAGGACCACATTCTGTTATCGCTGATAACAGATCGGTTGCCGATTCTTCGGTCTTCGACTCGATTCGAACTCACTCCCCATACTCAACCTAAAAGGCTTTAGCCCTAGTGGTTTTACTGTTTGTTAAGGGTTTCACCCGGACTTTTATTGAATGACCACTTAACAAAGGTACTGAGTATTTAATTGAGGTTGGTTGAATCGGCGATTGGGGCTTGCATGGCTGAAGCAAAGGGGTATGAGCATAGAGAATGGTTGGGGTTGACTCCGTGTAGTGCGTGCTTTGTCGTTTGACTCTTGGTGTGATTGCAGATATGTCCTGTGATTCAGATTTTGGATTTGGACTGCCTGCGACTCCATATACATATACATGGTTGTGAGGAGTCCCACTGTGCCTGTGAGAAGTGATCGTCACAACTTTACCCCTCCTTTGTATGTATGCGTGGGTATACGTACGATGAGTGTTCGGGAGGCCTAAGAGGCCATACTAACATCACGTAAGAGTGGGATCGAGGGACAGGGAGGACCCTCCCCTCTGCCCATTTGCGTCTTGGGGCTTACTTAGTCGGACGTTGGTCCTGGGCCGGGATTCAAGGTTCTTGTCCAGGACATCCCAAGCCCTAGGCCCTGAAGGGGAGGAGTCTCCCCTCGCATAGAGCCTATTTATCTTGGCCGGCGGGACACTCCGCGTGAAAGGCGGAAATGTCGCGAGGGCCGAACGGCGTGTCTTTCAGCCATTCAATAATCGTGAAGGTTGACCCTTCGCGATGTGTTCCTTCAGCCATTCAATATTGTAAGGCCGGAGCCGCAATTACCACGTATGATTGGCATCGTTGGTCGGTATGGGGCTAGTCGGCAGCCGCGCGGCCGTATGTCAAAATCCTGCGTGCGATGCTTCGCCGCCCCAACGCCTAAAAGTTATGGGATCGTGAGGCTCGCATGTAGACGCAAACGCTTGAGGTTATTGTAGGCCGTGGGCATCACCCGAGGAGAGAGAGGATACCCCAAAGATTACGACCCCCGTTGGAACAAAGGAGGGGGGGTGGGGCTCGGCCTATTCGTCTATTTTTTAGAGTTTTTATGGTTGGACGTTGTAGTCCGTGGCAACCGTAAAAGTCAAACCCCTAGATGTCTGACTGCCACGACAGCTTAAAGTTGTCTACTCAACCCCTCTGCAAAGGGTGCAGAAGAGGGTGTGGTCTTGAACCGCACATGGCAGTTCTCTGGCGTCGAGAGATTAACCCTCAAGGCGCGTGTCAGCCGACACTTGAGTTTCGAACGTGACCCTCGAGATTAACGAGGGTCGCGCGAGTGTGGGTACCACATAGTACGCCGTCATCGAGATTGTTTGCGTATTCTTGCATTGCGAAATGTCACGAGTTAACCCCCGCGTCCGCGCAGTTTATATTAAGTCTCGCGAGCGACGCCTATTCGATTTCTGCATCAGGGAGTTATGGAACGGCTACCGAGGGGTTAGGAGCGTTGTCGCGTTGCTCGTGTTGCGTCTCGTTGTACGAGTGTGTGCGTGTGTTATATTTTTATGTTCGTAGAACTGGTGTGCGCGTGGTGTATGGGATGCGTCCTAGTCGACTGACGTCGAGCCGCGCTTGGGACTTCAGCCCCCCAAGATGTCGGTTCACGTGCGGGTCCGATAGGCGTATTACCGCGCGTACCCCCTATGCTACAGTGAACGAGAAACGCCCTCGGCTGGTCCACCTCTGCGATTGCAATTGAGTAACTCTCGTACTCTGGACTGGTAGCTCGGCGGGGATACGCCCACCGAAGGGAGCTGACAGCTCCCGTAAGGTGGAGGTAAGTCGTGCCTCGCGTAGGCCCTATCCTGTCGTAGGGGCTCGTGAGAGGTATGGCTGGCGCACTCGGCCGGAGCGGCTTAAGGAAGCTCCATTTGCGTGTTCATGTCGAGGTTGATCCAACTCCTGTGTGACGCGGCCGAGAGGGTCCCGCGCCGCCACGTGCGGTGCCGGACCGATGCGCTCGACATGTGGCGCCGTTGACAGGGATAACGGAAGCCTACCGTTGTCCCTGGTGGAACGACATCCGGGTATGGGAGTAAGAGTGAAACTAGGCACATGAGTGAGTAAGAGAAGGACTATGAGATGAACTGTATGGCGATCTACCCGACTATGGGTTGAATGATTGATTGACTGGCGGCATGGTCGACAGCTTGAATGAAGCAAGTGGGTGAGGAAGTTCTATGGTGAGGATTAGCCTTATCTAGGTGAGCCTAAGGGAAATAGGAAAAGGAGTGTCTGCCAGGTTTAGAGTATGGGGTGTCTAAGTGGTCAAACCCGATAGGGTCGTGAAGGGTTGAGTCGCTGAGTGGGGTCCTTTGTCCCATCGTCTTTTGTAACAGGAAGATTGAAGTCGAAGGCGGTTGGCCAAAATGCCAGAGGAGATGGCGGACGGTGGGAGGAGGCTTGTGACTCTCGACGACCTCATCGATGCCTTGGACAAGCGCGAGAGGGCGCCGAGCAATGTCCCAAAGGTCGAGACATTCCATTTCAAGGGGGATCGGGTATCTGACTAGTTGGATCTGACGGAACAGGCGCTGGTGGGACTGTCAGATGAGGTCAAGTTCCAGCGGGTCCTGAGGTATGTCCTGCATAGTCACCATCGGGAAGTAACTAAGGTCGTGGATGCCGCCAGTGACAGTTGGACAAAGTTTGGGGATCTAATACGAAGGAAGTACAGGCTGAGGGACGGCCTGTTGACCATGGCCAACTTGGAGGCCATGAATAAGGAAGATTTCTCTACCATTGGGGCGTTCGTGCACAAGTTTAAGAAAAAGGCTAGGAAGGTGCACGGGATTTCTGAGAAGGCACAGTGCACCACATTTTTGGGGCTGCTTACGGGCTCCGAGGCCATACAGCTGACCAAGTATGGGGAGGGGAGCGAGAGGCTCATCTGGGCAACCATTGATAAGGGAGTGGAAGAAGGGAGCCTGGACCAGGTGGAGCAGCACCAAATGAGGTTGCAAAGGTGCAAGAGGAAGGAGAGGGATGCTACCGCATCCAGGACACCTGGGTGAAGAGAATTGTTACGGACGTGTTGGCGGCACTGGGGTATGATAACGAAGCAGAGATACAGAAAAGAGGGGTGCTTGTGGCCCAAGGTCAGGCATCAGGGGCAGTGGATGAGGAGGCTGGGCAAGAAGACTACGGCGGAGGGGAGACGGGTTCCCAAGTCCTGACTAAGGCCCAGAGGAAGCAGCGCAATCTGCTGCAGGGAGGGCAGGGGTCAGGGAAGGGGCAGGTTCCCCAAGCCATTGCCGCACCACCGCCTGTCGCCGCGGCCGCGCCAGCACCAGCATGACCATCGCACATGGGGCCGCCATCAGCTTGTGGGCACTGGGTGCCGCATTGTCAGTCCGCGCCCTGGCCCAGTTGTAACCACTGTGTCTCGTGTGGAGGGAGTCGGGCCCAAACGGGACACATGGTCCCCTATTCGGGCCCATCAGTAAGTATGGGCCCCCCGAGCTACCCGGCGATTCAAAGCCAGCCCGTGGCTCAACCGCCGCCCTCCCAACACGCCTCGCAAGCTAGTGTGGCCGGGGGAGGGGGCCAAGGACAAGGCGGGCAGGGCAATGGGGGCCGGGGCCAAGGGGGTAGAGGAGGGGGCGGTCGGGGGCGAGGGGGAAATGGTGGAGGCCGTGGAGGGGGCTGGAATGGTCAAGGGGGTCAGAACCAAAGTGGCCAAGGCAGCCAGGGAGGGGGCCAAGGGTATGGGAGGCCCCGCTTCGACTGGCGGAACGCAACTTGTTAGCATTGTGGCGAGGTGGGCCACACCATACGATTCTGCCAACAACGGCGGGACGATGAGCTGGCAGGACTAATCTCCACCTGTATGGACGGGGACATATACGATCGGTGGGGAAAGCACATTGATCCCACGACCCCAGGAGGAATCAGGTAGGAAGCCCTCAGGCGAGCAGCGGCAGGGCCTCCAGCGGCCCCAGCAATGTTTAGGATATGGCAGGAAAGGCAAGACCCGGGTGTGAGAGTCGAGGAGATTGTGGATGAAAATAAGGAAGTGACTCAGCGGCTGAAGGCCGGGACTATAAAGGAGGAGCCCATAGTTGTTGAGTCCGATGACGAGGCGCAGGAGGTGGTGAGAGAGTCAGCCTCGACCATCCTGGAAAGGATGGAGGACGTGCTCGCAAAGGTCGGCAGATATCAGGAACGGCTAAGGGTGATGTGCGAAGAGGCCCGAGAATGGGAAATGAATCTTCCTAAGGTAATGCTCTATAGGTCCGGCCCGGAGTCATCATCAGGACCTCAAGGGTGTCCAAGCGTGGCGACGGCCGGGGCAGGTCCTAGGTCAGGGATGACCTTCATGCCCCCTACGTCATATGGAAGGGTGCCCCAGGCCGCGCAGACTAGGGGCCAAAGCAAGGCTACCACCAGTCAAGGGCCCAGCCAGGCACCTAGTCGGGTGCCTCCTCGAAAAGAGCCTGAGCATGAACGAAGGAAAGAAGTGGTAGAGGTTCAAGAAGAGGACGATGAGGGCGATGACGAAGAGGATGAGAGGCTCCGCCAGGAAGAACATCGGCGAGCTGAGCAGAGTGCCAAGAAGAGAGGGATTTAGGGAGGAGCGGAGCCGAGCCTGCACGATGGCGTGCCAAAAAGAAAGAAGTACGCAGTCCGGCTGGAGGAAGGTTTTGACGTGGAGCGGATGGTAGATAAGCTCCTGGAAGGCCACAACGATTTGATGAATTTAATGGACATTTTGGTGTCAGCACCAAGGCGCCGTGGCGAGCTGAAAGAGCGGCTCTCGCGAAGGTTAGTGCCCAATGTCCACCTGAGCTCAATTCTCCCCAGGGAGATAGAGTGAACAGAGGCGGGCATCAGGATGGATTGGAAATGTGTGGCGTGTGGGTTGGTGGACTTGAAGGTGAGAGACCAGCCGAGCATCGCAATGGTGGACACGGGCGCGGAGATGAATATCATCCGTGAGCGGGACGCGGCTATGTTAGGGCTGGAGGTTGAGCATTCGGACCATGGTGTGCTGCATGACGCCAACTGCAAGGCCATATTCTGTGGCACCTCGTCTAATGTGATGGTGGAGATCGGGAGGGTAAGGGTGCGAACGTGCTTCTTCGTCATGCCCGATGTCGACCACCCTATCCTTCTGGGGAGGTCGTTCCTCTACCGAACGGAGACCTTGGTCTTCAACAGGCATGAGGGGACGATGATCCTGGCTCTATCCGATCCAGCCTGCGGGAATTACGAAATTATTAAGTGCGGGAACACAGGGCCCGGAAGTGCGAGGAACAAGCTCAACCTCGGCTCCTTTACCTTCGAGGAGTCTGAGTACGCGCGACGGAGACTCCGGGAGGAGCAGGAGGAGGACGGAGTTGGCGAGGTGTTGTCCCTGAGCCTTAACGATGTGAATAAGGCAATGGAGGTGGTGGCCGCGCATGATATGGCAGACCCTGAGGCTATAAAGGCATTGAGGGAGCAGGTCCTGGAAAACCCTCAGGTGGGAGAAGTGGAACTGATCTATCGGCTTCCCGGGAGGAAAGGGACCCAGGCCCAAACGACAAGTCGGCCTTTTTTAGGGGAGGGCTTAAGCAGGGCTCCCAAAGGCGGTACAAAACCGTAGATAGGAAGTGTCGTCCAGTCCCCGTGCTTGTCACGGAGGATGAGGAAGCCTATTATGAGCGGGAGCGAGGGCTGATAAGGCGTATGCGGGAGCGCGCGCAGGCAGGGTCATGCCGCATCAATAACGAGAATGAGGAGGGGCTGATAATTGGCGAGCCTGGTTTCCTTTCGCCCCAGGAGAGGGCCTTGATGGTGGAGACCATGAAGAGGAGGCATTGCGCGTATGCGTTTAATGATGACGAGCGTGGGAGGTTGGACGTGGATAAGATCCTAATGATACGAATCCATACTGTCCTACACGAGCCGTGGAACCTGAGGGGCGCGCGATATCTGAATCCGGATGAGGAGAAGAAGGTGGTGGACTACCTGGACGGGATAATGCAGACGTACGTGGCAGACTACTCCAGTTGACCGTATGCCTCCCCTTGGTTTTGCTTTATCAAGCCGAACGGGACGCTACAGTGGGTGCAGGATCTGCAACGTTTGAATGAGGTGACGGTGCGGGACGCGGGAGGATTGCCGAACGCGGACGCCCTGTCAGAGTCATGCGCAGGAAGGCCTATAATCTCGCTTATAGACCTTTACTTGGGTATGACCAATTTCCTGTATACCCGCCGGATAGGCCGGTGACGGCAATGCATACGCCAAGGGGGCTGATGCATATGAATGTGGCCCTTCAGGGATGGACTAATGCGGTGGCAATGGTGCAAAGGCACATGATTAGGGCCATGGAGACGGTTAGTCCAATATCACTCAGCCCTACATTGACGATTTGGCGGTCAAGGGTCCAAAGGAGAAGGAGGAAGACGAAGTGGTGCCAAGAGTGAGGCGGTTCGTCTAGAAGCACATCCAGGATATCGATCAGGTTCTAGGTCTGTTGGAACAATATAACCTGACGGCGAGCGACCCCAAGTCGAAGCATTGTATGAGGGAGGCCACGATTCTGGGCTCTGTCTACAAAGAGAAGGGACGGAGGCCAGATGTGAAGAAAACGGATAAGATCCTAGAGTGGCCAGTCCCCTTCCAGTCAATAACGGACGTGAGGAGCTTCCTTGGGACCTGTGGGTTTTGGAGGAGTTTTGTGAAGGACTTCGCCACCAAGACAAGGCATTTAAGGAAGATTGTGCATCAGGATCAGGAATGGGTCTGGGGCGACGACCAGGAAGAGGCGGTGGAAAGGATGAAGGGAGAGTTCAAGGAAGGAGGCTTAGTGCTGGGAGCGCCAAATTATGAGGCCACAGAGGAAAGGCCATTCGTTGTCGAGACAGATGCCGAACCAACTGCCTTAGGGGGGGTCCTGATCCAGACAGATGCAGATGGAAAGGAGAGGCCGCTAAGGTTTGAAAGTCGTACTCTCAATATGACTGAGAGGAACTACTCGCAGTTCAAGAAAGGGACGTTGGCGGTGCTCCATTGCCTAAGGACCTTCCGGAATTATATCTTCGGCAGAAGGCTCATTTTGAGGGTGGACCCTACTGCGCTTGCGTGTTCCCTGAAAAGTTATACTCCATCTGACCCAACCATCGCAAGGTGGTTAACTTACATTTGGATGTTTAACTTTGAGTTGGAGAGGATTCCCGGGGACAAGAGCAGGGCCTGTCTCTTATACACATCTAGATGTGTATAAGAGACAGCTACTGCGCTTGCGTGTTCCCTGAAAAGTTATACTCCATCTGACCCAACCATCGCAAGGTGGTTAACTTACATTTGGATGTTTAACTTTGAGTTGGAGAGGATTCCCGGGGACAAGAGCAGGGCGGATGGGCTGAGCCGTATCAACTTGGATGGGGCGAGTCAGGAGTCGATTGAGGATACCCCACCCGTTGACGGGTTCTTGGACAAGGAGGAGGATGTCCGCCTCCATATAAATGAGTGGTCGTTGAGGGTGCCTAGCTGCGTCATGCATCCTATATGGCTAGCACCAAGGGGGTACGAGCGAAAGAAGGAGTTGGTCCTCAAGCCCTTCTAGGAAGAAGATCCGTGGGGGAGTAGGGATGTTGGCTGGATGATGACGTTGGCATTGGCAGGGACACATAGTCTGGCGGAGGAGGTGAGGACGATAGAGGAAGGCCCAACCCAGGAAGAGAAGCATGAGCAACTAATGGGAGGGATGTACTTGCTCACTAACACGCTCCTGCAGGGGAATTTTAACCAGAGGAGCTCAGCCGGTTCCGAGGAAGGCGAACTTCTTATTCCTGAGAGCCAGGACGACGAGTTCGAAGAGGGAGAAATCAGAGAGGCCTTCCGCGCAGAAAAGTATGACGGGATCTATCGGGAGTTGGGGTTACTCCTGTCGTGCGAGATAAGGGATAGGGACGCAAGTGCTAAAGCCCAGAAGATGAGGCATCTCTACGTAGTGAGAGATGGCCATCTGTTTATAAAACGACAGGTCGGGAACCCCAAGAGGATCGTATGTGGGAGGAACCGACTGATCGATGTCATAATCGCCTTACACGATGATATAGCAGGCGGGCACCGAGGCGTTAGTGCCACGTGCGCAAAGATAAGTGAGTTATACCATTGGGATGGAATGCTGACTATGGACATTAAGTACTGCCAATCCTGTTTACCTTGCCAACACAGGTCAGCGCAAAGGCCTGGGGAGCCTCTGCACCCCAGGCTGGAAAGAGAAGTAGGTGCAGTCGTACACCTGGACTTGTTGTTCATGCCACTCGGGGAGGATGGAAGTAATTATATCTTCGATGCACGGGACAACCTTACCGGGTTCGTGGATGGTCGGGCTATTCGCACAAAGACTGGCCCAGTTTTAGCAAGGTGCATCGAAGAGTACTACCTGCGCTATCCATTTGTTAGAGAATTTGTGATGGACCGGGGGTCGAAATTCACCTGTAACGAGGTGCGGACCTTGCTTGCAGGGTATGGCGTGGTGGCAAATTGTATTACTGCCGCGCACCCCCAGGCCAATGCACTGGTGGAGAGGGGGCATAGTACCATCACAAATCTCTTGGCCAAATGGACTGAGGGGAAGCCTAACCAGTGGCCGAAGGTCATGAGAGCAACTTTCTTTGTGGAAAATGTTATAGTGAAAAGGACCACCAAGTATGCGCCAGCCACACACGCCACCTTTCCCATAGAAAGTTTCATGAAGACGTGGAGGACCTGGAAGTGAACCTGTCTTTTGAAGAACTGCTCGATATACGAGCGCGGCAGGTGGGGGCCGTTGAGAAAAGGTTACGAGAGGCCGCTGGTCAGGTAGAGAGAAGCCGCATGGAAGACAAGACGAGATGGGACCAGATGGCCCGGATAAGGAAGGATCCGCTGAAAGTTGGGGATGCGGAGCTGCTGTATGACTCCTTGTTGGAAAAACAATGGTCAAGGAAGCTAGATAAGCGGTGGCTGGGGCCCTATAGGATCGTGCGATGTGGTGAGTTTGGGGCCTACCAAATTGAAGAGCTGGATGGGACCGGGTGGCAGGAATGGGTGTCGGGGACGAGGCTAAAGAAGTTTGTGGCCAGGGAATAGGTAAGGCACCTTGAGATCTCGTTAGGAATAGAGCCTTGCCTAGGTATTACCCATGTCAGGTGATTAGATAGGTGAGAGACTGGGGTGGATGAGTGTGGGGTGTATGTGAGATTTCCCCAAGCCAATGGGCTCAGTTGCTGACCCTGCTGTGTGCCTGTTGCTGTCTCTCGCCTGTTGTGCAGGTCTGACTTTTCGAAGGCAGTCATGCAGAGGGGCGGGAGGGACACACGGCCACGACAGGGGCCCCAGGGAGCAGCGGGGAGAGGCGAGCAGCACGAGCCGCCTAGGAGGGAGCCTACGCCTGAGTTCAACGATGATAACATAGAGTTTTTCCTGGACGTATATCGGGATCATGCGGCACAGAGAGGGGGGTCAAAGGCGGAGAGGATCGACCATTTGAGGGGTATAGGGCGGTTTGAGGAGCCTGTCGCTCAGATATGAGAGGACGCCCTGACTTGGCCGGATGTGGAGGCCGGGATGCAGAGGTTGAGAGCTTCTTCTAGAGGGCGCGATGGCATGCCCATTCGATTGGAGAAGGGGAACGTGGAGAAGTTCATTCCCGCATATGAGCACTACATGTTGAGTCAGGTGATTGCGGGGGAGTAGTGGATGCAGGCCCTACTTATCTGGACGAGGGGGGCAGAGAGGCCGGTGGCCAAACAGATTCGGGAGCGGGCTCGAGATTGGGAGGACTGCCAGGCCCAGCTCAGGAGGGCATTCGGACGACCACAACATGAGAGGCCCGAGCCCAGGGTCGAGAGACGACGGTAAGGCAAGAGGCCAAGGAAACCGGCACCGAGAGAGGTGGGGCTGGCCAGGGAGAGGAGGAGGGCCCCAACACAGCGGGAGGATGAGCCCGCAGGGCCCGCACTGGCAGAGGAGTCGTTCCCTGCTTGTGGCCTCCGGGCGGTTGAGTTTCGGCGGATTACGAGCGAGGAGCTGAGATCACCCTCACCGTTGCCATCAGCGCAAGAGCTGGACATACCGAGAGAGACGCCATTCCGAAGCTTAGCGACTCATCTTGATGCATCTCAATGGGAGGCCTCACGATTGGGGGATGATTAAGTTGAGCCGACATGCTACGTACCGTTGGAGGAGCCTTTGGACCCCGGGACGGAGACGGGCATGCGAGACCGAGAGGAGCCTCAGGATCCTGACATGGCAGCTGAGCAACCGGATCGTGTACAGCCTCAAGGCGGAGAGGTGATCACGGTTGGAGACGATACCCCGCCATGCTTCCCAGTTCTAGAGCCAGTACAACATCCATGGCCAGAGGGGATTCTTGAGCCGGGCAACGAGGAGATTCCGGAGTCTCCCCCTGAGGCCGCCGCTATGCCTGAGCAGGGGGCAGAGGCAGAGGGTCAGGGAGCGCATGAGAGAGCGAGGGTTGAGGCGCCCCTTGACTTGCCATCGGCCACGCACGTGACCAAGAGCCCAGTTATCAAGGAGCCTCTTCCAGCGGAGTTACCGCCAGCAGTGCCATGCACGAGTGAGGGGATGGGGGCTGAGGCGTTGACTCCGGAAGGCCAGGGGCCGCGGGTGAGAAGAACCCCAAGAGAGACCCGCGAAGAGAAGTCCGCCCGGGTACGGGTCCGTCTGGATGAGATACACGCGAGGCAAGCTGAGATGGAGGCAACAGGAATAGAGCCGACATCGTCGGTCGAGCCCAAGACGAGTGAGCAGAGGATCAACGAATTGTGGGCCAGGTATGAGAGCCAGAGGGATACAGCCCGCCAAAGATCACGAGAGACGGGACAGGCGAACGAGGGGGCGGGTGAGCTGAGAGAGATGGGGGACTTGGGGTTGTTCGTGACCAGGCAGGCGATTGAGCACATGGATCGGAGGGTATGCGAGACGGCATTTACATCCTTTTAGTGGTATAATCTACTCAGCAATGAGCTCAGGGTCAGAGAGTTGAAGGTGGAGCACCTAACTACTCAGCTTGCCGAGGAGAGGGCGAGGAGCCAGGCCAAAGAGGTTGAGTGGGAGAGGAGATTTGGGGAGATGACGACCGCTGTGGATAGGCTCTCGGCAGCCTGGGAGGCTAGCCAGGCAGGGCGAGCCGGTACCGACAGCCAGGGCCGAGGGATGCAGGCTTCGCCGAGTCAGGGAGTGGCAGTGGAGGCCCCTCGACAGGCCGAGCCAATGGAGGAGGTGTCCTTGGATGCAGTTGAGGAGGAGGGTGGCGCGCAGGAGTCGCTTATGGCTTTATCCACGGAAAGGAGAGGTTCGCGTTTGCATGAGCTGGCAGCAGCCATGGGGATAGGCACTCCACAGGAGAGGCCTCAGAGACTTGGCGCTCCAGAGCTTGCCCCGAGGTTGGGAGAGTTGAGGGCGGAGCTGGGCTCCTGGGCCACGGAAACGGACTCAGGAGGGCCTGATTCGCGGCAGGAGCAACAGCAGGAGGTCATGAGTGAGCCCACCGCCATGGGGGGCTCTCAGCCGTCAGGAGCATATGGGGATGAGGTGGTGGTGACAGAGGGGCCTCATGAGGAGGGCCCCCAAAAGTTGGATATGCCAGACTGCAGGCTAGTGAGCACAACCGCACGAGGGGGTGAGGGTGCTGAGGCTATGGAGCCCGGACCTCAGGGTCATATGGGATTGTCCTCGTGTCATGAGGTGACTACTGAGAACACGGGGACGCCTTCAGCATCGAGTTCGCAGGGGAGAAAGAAGAAGACTGCCAGGTGGCACGATACCTCCTGTTTTTGGTGCAAGGAGGAAGGGCAAAGAGCCGTGGACTGCCCAGAACTCCTCGAGGACAAGGCCGAGGGGCGAGTTGCGGAGTTCAACGGCAAGTTCTATGACAGGCAGGGCAGGATAGTAGAGCGAGCTCCAGATGGGGGCAGGGCTCAGTTGTATATGCAGAACCAGGAGGAATTGTGTAAGTAAGGCCTGGTCTGTCTATGTGTCAGTAGGGACAGGGTGATTGGCACACACGGGGGCGGGTTGGAGGTGTACATATGTTTAAGTTGGCTGAGGGGGCCCTAGATGTGTGCATACGTTAGAGGTGGTAGGATGAGTCCCTGCCTGCTTGTACACATATAGCTGATTAAGGTTTCTTTGAGTTTTTCTTTCGTAGGCTATGGCTTAGGGCATGAGGGTTGGTTGTAGGACACATGGGGCTATTCAGTCCACTTTTGATTTCGCAGTACAGAGACTACTTGAGTTTGAGAGAGACTTGGGTATGAGTTTTCCCGAGTTAGGTGAGACAGAGGGTTAGGCACCCGTTAGGTTTTGAGTAGATGTTGTGTCCCCGAGCGTGTTCCGCGGGTGTACAGTGGGGTCGGGAGCCATGCTCAGATGGACAGAGTTTGAGTTGAGTGTTTGTATTTGAGTCTTGAGGGAGGCATTCTACTCCCTGAGTGTATCATGAGTTGAGATTTTATGGGACTTGTTTTGTGACGACCACGATCACTCTCACATGTGTGATTTTATCCTGATGTATGATTGGCTTTGTGTGAGAGATGTACAAGATATATCTCATGGGCATGATTGTGTAAATTTTAAAGCTGTCTACCCTCCGGTATACTCGTGCGGTCTGTTGCAAGCGGACGAGAGGGTGGAGTATAAGGAGGGGAAGTGCAGCCTGTTTGTGAAAAACCGTGAGAATCCTACGGGATTGACGAAACACCGTTGCCTAAGTTGTACAGGGACCCAGAAGGGGGTCCCTCAGTTTGAGTTGTTTGGTAGTTGAGACCCCTTCATGGTTCTAAAAGGTGGGAATTGCATTGTTATCGAGACCCCTTCATGGGTTTAAAAGATGTCGTGCGAAGAGTCTTCCCATACAGAGAAAGGATGGCTGTGAAATCTTTTGTGAGAGGCACCCTTTACCAAGTAAGGGTGGGTAAAAATTGAATGGTATGGAAAGCATTGTTTGTGTTGGTAAAGCCTGACGAGAGGGAACCATGTTTGTTTGTTATGTTTGAAAGGGGCGAGAGATGCCTCAGGATGGGCGACTGCTGGCTCTGATCAAGTCAGGAGTCGCGGCCTTGCGGATCCGGCGGGGAGACTGTTTGTGATTGAGCGAAGGATGCGGTGCCTATTATAGGAGGGCCGGTAAATGCCTTCAGACCCCTGCGTAGTCCCGCAGCGGCCTGTGAATTGTTTGTGATGCCCCGCCCGACCACCTGTGCTAATTCTTAGACATGTTTAGAGGAATACCAAGGTAACGGTAAAGTTTAGTGCCACCTGGGCGCAACCCCTAGTGGAGGGCTGCTAGCCGGCACAACCTGGCTGCGGGCCTGCGAAGTAAGAGTTTAAGGGGAGTTGCCCGCCCCAGAGAAATTACTCCGCTGGGTAGAAGTCGGGTCTTTTGGAGAATCCTGACTGACTGATTGTCAGGAAAAACGCCTATCGTTGTATAACCAACGGGAGGATACCGCCGCTAAGGTAACAACGCGGTGGGCCGTGGACCTGGCCCGATCAACCAGGCTATGGTGGGCTCAGATAGAGACCTGGCGTTTCTGTACCAGACTGCAGAAAAGGCCGAGAGAGGCTATAAACTATATGTATGTATTTTGGTTGATGGTGAGAAAATTGTTGAAAGAAGGCAAGAGTGCCTTCACAGAGCCCATTCAAAGCCCGCGTCCCTAGTTATGGCTCTGTCTACGAGAAGGAGGCTAACTGGGACACCCAACGAGAGGCCGGCGGTTGTCTAGGACGGAAGGGGAAGAGGATGGTTTGAGGGCCTTTAGAACTTATGCTGTAGTATTGATGCGCAATACACCGGCGTCCTGTTGTCAGGACAATGGAGACCCAGGTTGAAACCCTGACAGCATATAGTTGTGTTGGCACGTTTTGATGGAGGCCTCAACCCTGAGTCTGTCGGCTAATCGGATTGGTTCTAACCTCGTCAGCATTTGGAGTGTGAATGGATTTATAGCTTTCTGATTTGGCGAAGCGACGGGGACGTCGCTTAATATGGTCTGGTAAGTTGTCGGCGCGAATACCCTTACAAGGGTATCCGCCCTGGTTCTTGCAAGCGACAGAAAGACTCGGTTAACCTGGATTCTGAGTGCCCGTGCGGGAAAATGCGAGGGTCGCCCGCACATAGGCAAAGGTCTGCCTTGTCCCTGTAGGGAGTACGTGGGCGCGCAATTTTAAGGCGCGCGTGTGATGTTTCTGATTGAGTGGGCGGCCGGGGTAGCCGACCGACCCGGACTGGTGACTGGTTTGATTAGGGGGCGATAGCTCACTTTGATTCGCACGTGCGACCAGTGGTGGCGCTCAGGCTGGTGCGTGGGGTGGCAATGCCACAGGATGGTAGGCCGATGCGGACACCTGGGGGCGGTGCGTGCAAATATGGGCTGAAAGAGTGGCCGGGGCGGTGTCCTGGCCCGAAGCGTCGTGCGGTATCACTTTATGTGGGAAACTGCGTCCGATGGTCTTAGGCTTGGGCTTAGCCCTATTGGTTACGGTGTCGGGTCCGTGGGGTGGAGGTGTGAGGTTCGAGGCCAGCAAACGGCGACGCGGGAGCGATCGAGTAGCAGAGGAAATGAGGGGTTGAGGGTCCTGCGGGACTATCCCTTGTAGTTTTGCTAAGGAGATCCGATCGCGGGCCCGCCCTGCAGGGTCGAAGGATTTTTTTTGGAGGGACCCGTGCCCCTTCCCGTCTGCTTTTTTGCTTATTCTAAATCTTTGGGTTTTCGTCTCGATTCTACTGTGCCTTAGTGGATACCGGAGGTTGGCCGGTGCTGCCTTTGCTTGGACCGATGGCCTGGGCCATCGACTGTTACAGCGAGCGCACCCACGAGCTGCCGAAGTACGGGCCGGTGACGAGCCGGGGAGGGTCGCGCGGCCCCTCGGAGGTGTTGTGGGAGGCCATCGCGCGTGGGTCCTTCGGGACGACCGTTAGGATGGGGAGGATATTGGAGAGGTTCGCATGGCCCTTACGTAAGGATGATGTACAAAGAGTCCGAAAATGGACCCGGACGTGAGCCGGGCTAGGTGCGCGGCCGGGAGAGTGAGGGGAGAAGGCCGGATGGCCTTTGGAGATGTTGCGGGGTACCTGCCACGGTGAAAGTCCCCGCGGCTTCGGCCAAGATTGGATCGACGAGAATTGTATAACGATTGTGTGAAGGCTAAGGAGTGTGAAACGGGAGGGGGTGAACCCGGCTGTAAGCCGGGTCAGGTGCATGTCAGAGGGAAGAATGGGTGGGTCGCTGCCCACATATTTTTTTGGGAAGATTTGTCGGGGATCGGGTCGATGCGTAGGGGATTTGCATGACCATTGTATGGGGCTGGCGCGCGAGAACTCGTGGATGTACCCGGACAGGAAACAGGGACGGACGCGTGCACGGGGCGGTAGGCAAGGGGTGCTGTAGGCAAAATCCGGGGGTGAACCCGAGCGTAAGACGGACCAGGGGCATACAGAAGGGAAAAAAGGCTGGGCGACTTGGAGATGTTGTGGGGCGCGGCCCCGATTCAGTCCTCGGAACATCGGTTAAAATTGGAGCGATATAGAGTAGACTAGCGTGGCTCTAGGGGAAAGCGGGTTCGTATAAAGCGAGCGAGGCAGTTCCTTTTTTTTGGTTTGTTCGTTCGACTTCCCTTTTTCCACGGTCGGGTCTTCGTATAGCCGGTCGGAGTGCACGTTAGTGCGTTAGAGTATCGGTTGACCGCAATGTTGCAGAGAGGGAAGAGTGAGCCGGAACGGGAAAGCATGCTGGGTACGTGCACGGAAGTGAGGGACGTAGCTGCAGAGGAGCAGTGAGCTATGGCCGGAGGAAAGATGGGTTTACTCCCGTTTCTCGACGAAAACGGGCGGATAAGGGCTTGTTCCTAGCATATTCGGCCATAGCGAGTTTATTAGTGAGGTTAGTTTGGGCGATAGGCTAGCAGATATAGAGCTAGTAGAGAAAACTGGTGCGCCAGGCTATGGTGGAAACTAAGGTAGAGGAGATGAGAAATCGAGATTATTACTCGATTCTCTGTGAACTCGGGCGGAGAAAGAAGCTCTGGGTCAGGGCGAATCCATTGGGGTGGTCAGGATTAGCAGTAAAATAGTAGTTTTTGCGCAGTGTGACTTATAGGTTGCGCGGAGGTGTTAAGAAACGGGGAGGGGTTGTGTAACACGATACTCACCCGATCTTTGAGGAAATCAAAAAAGGGGAAGGGCATTCTAGAGGCTTTGAGGGTGAAGGAAACTAATGAGGGAGTCAGAATCGTGGGTTGGGGCTTAGATTAGGCAGTATGGGCGTTAGGAGCTGCGCTGGGAGGAAGGAAATCGTCGAATTTGTATCTTTCCGTGTTCTAGCGGAAAATTCATGTAATTTTGCTTATTTTATTGAGCAAGTAACAGGGAGCGAACTGAGGGATGGGCAACTTACCTTTTGGCCCGTGTGATGCTCCTCCGAACGAAGAAAGTGGCGGGGAGGAGTGAGCCGCGGGGTTGGAGGCTCAACACTAGGCCGATGTGCCGCTCATCCTATTGGTGGAACCGGCACCTTCCTGCCTTTTTGTGCGGACGGCTGCAGAACGGCGCGTTTCTCCGTGGGGTAGCGGAAAGTTCACTCTAGCTTGTGTAGGGACGACACAACTGTATCGAGAGGGAGGTTGGATTACTAAGGAGTGTCTTTCCGTGATCTAGCAGAGTACTCATTTCGGCTTGCGTAACCTGCCAATGGGAGTAACGTGAGGCTAGCCATGGGGTTGGAGGCTTGCTTGGTCGACCGGTGGGCTGCCCATTCTAACGACTGCAGTGCGTGAGGCAGCAAGAAAGGGGTAAGGCTCAGGGCAGCTTGGGGTTTGTGAGCGAGGCTGGAGTATGGTCTTTACACATGGCGGTGATTGCTGTGCAGCCAGTGCCGTGAGTTGGTTGAGATCGTGAGGTGTGCTGCAGGACCTTACCAGTTGCCCGACTCTTGTGGGCGATTCTCGGGCTGTGGGGTTGCAAGCAGCTGCTGTGTGCTCTGCTGCTTGCTTTGGCTGTGTTTCTGTTGCGGCCATTGCTGAGCAATTCCGGACCATTGCTTTGTTTTGAGCACGACCGTTTAAGGACCACATGGCTGCAGCTTCATGAGGAGAAGGATCCGTCTGACTCTCGGCTGTGCTGCTACGTAACACCGTGCTTCTTAGGCACCATTGTTGAAGCTACCAATCTGTTGTTTCTAGCCGACGACTTGTTGTGCTTCTGTTTCTGATTTGGAACGGATAGTGTAGTTATTGCAGTTGTTGGGGGTACCGTAGGGTTTGTTGTGAGGAACGGTGACTTGTTGCAGCATATGGAAGCTG